CTCTGAACAGTTCCGGAGTCCGTTACAAATCGATTGAAGAACTTGATCTAAGGAACAGTTGAAAATATACACCATTAGGAATCTGCGAGAATGATGAGTGCTGGTGAATTAAGAATACTTCCTACCACTTCATTTTCGATAGTTTCTCTGGCATAAAAATGGTAAATAATAATAATTGCGTAATTCCAAAGCAGATGTAAATCGTTTATATATATATATATATATATATATATATATATATATATATATATATATATATATAAATTTATGGTAGAAGACTAATTCAATTAGAACTTACACACACGATCACAGTAATGGGCCTAAAATATCTAGAATTAATAAATGATTAGATGTTACAGATTGTGATACAGCATGAATCAAGTGCAAAACTGCATTCAATAATTAAAGGAAAACAAAAATTCAAAGAAGATCTACAGTTAATCTATCATGAAGAAATATTATACAGAATGCCAACAAAGGAGGCAAAATAAAACAACAAAAGTAAAACTTTAAGTACCTAACCAATATAAAAAAAGAAAAAGCATTTACATAACTGATACACGTTGCAAACACAAAACTCTGATAATAATAACTAAAATCTAACCCATCAGTAGATGCTATGCTCTAGTTTGAAAGCAGAAAAAGAATGGTTTATCCTGGCAACTAAAGATCAGTATCTGCTAACAAGATCTTCCCGGGTACATACTTTAAGGAATGGTGAGGACCCTAAATGTTGGTATCTGTCCACACTCTCAGAAGATCATCTAATATCTGGCTGTTCTATCATGACACTAAATGAAATAATAGAGTAGAGCAATGTTTTCAGTGAAAGATGTGCCAAAATTATAAACTACCCAATACATAAATAGAATATGAGCAAAACCGGCACCAGCTCTACAAATTGTAGATGTGATTTTGCTCTTGGACTTCGCCATACATTCCTACCGCACTATACAAGGTGATAGACCAGATATAATCATAAAAACTTTAATGAACAAAAAATGCTATCTTATGGACGTGATCATATCTTCTGATAAAAGAATTTTAGCAGAATAATAAACTCACTAAATGTAAAAAAATAAGATAACAAGAAACAAATAGAAATAACAAAAGTGTGACATTTAATCACTATTATTCCATTAAGAAAGAATGAACCTAGTTGGAACCTCCGATTAAATTTATTCGCTAAAAATTAAATATGACTAAAAGTTACTATGAAAAAAGAAACTGTCTTTGGGTGAGTAGTTTAAATTTGAAACATTAGTTAATTTTAATATATTAACATTTAAGCATTCCAAAAAGATGTACGAACCTACCCCACCAGTATGGCAGGATGGTAAAATATGATGGGACAAGTTACTTCTTTTGCTAACACATACATACATAAGTGATGAATATATTATGATAATTGAGAAATATACAACCAGACAAAATTGTTAACAGTAATAAAAATGTATTTGAATAAATAGGACAAGTAGAATCATATGTGACAAAACCTCAAGGATGTATTGTAATAAAGTGAAAAGTGTGATAAAATGAACAATAAGAAAAGAATGACTCTAGCAAACAGAACTTTATCGGTATTACTTCTCCAGTAAAATGGAAATGAAGCTAACAAAACAAAATCAGTTGATCAAAGACATTTAATGTGCAGACTATTAATTTGATTCTATATACCAGACAATTGTCAAATTCAAAATCATCGGATATATGTTTTACAAGCAATGTAATCCTGTTGTTGCCTGAAATACACTAACGACTTCCCACATTTGACAAGATGTACATACTACACAATTCTCACCAGGCCTTCAGTTGGAATATCGTTCGACGCAAACTATCAAAAGGTTTCATCATTTGTGCATTCACCAGCATTAGTAGTCTTCTTTCACTTTTGTCCCTTTTCCGTTTTTTTTTTTCTTGTGAGAACTTTTTGACTTGTTTGAAATATTTTTGTTATTTTACAGGCTTTTCCCTCTGCTTCAAAACCTTTCATGCTTACAGCATATGTGACTCAAACTCACAAGAAAACCAGCGGAAACTTTTCTACTCAAAATGAGGCTAACAGCGGCACTATCAAGGGGTGGAAACAGAAATTAAAATTAGTGATTCATCCTGCCCCATGTAGTAACCAGCCCTGGTCTCACTAAAAATGATTAAGAATAATAATGAATATGTGTACGAAAATGCGATGATATCTATCTTTATCTCAAAATCCAAAATGTCCTCTTAATGAATACTGTTTACATACACAGAAATACTTTTTGAATCATGTATACGCAATAACATCTAACTTTCATTTACCTGAATTCTCTTGTGAAAAACGAGTTCGATGAATCGAAATAAGTGTACACTAATAAAAAGAATAATAATCTTTTATAAATTGGCATGCGGATAAATTTTATCTGCGTCCCCACCTAACGTCGCTAGAACATAATACACTACCTTAATATACATAACTTTATTATCAGCCATATATACGTAGGGGTTTACTAAACGTATTTTAGATGTGATACAAGTATGAAGCACCCATTAGGGATAAAAAATCACAACTCAGTCGTAACTTATCGCACAAGAGAAGCTGACTAATTACTGACTGCCCTTCCACACGATTGCGGGATAGGCACAAGGCCGTTTTAAGGTGGGGAGCCCAAAACTTGCACCTGAGCTAAGGCCAAAATTTCACGATATATGCAACTAACGTCGAAGTGACATCGATAATCCACTGCCCATCCCTCTTTAGTAGAATGAAAGAGGTGCTGTCAGAAGGTGGCATGCTAACTAGTAATTTACAAAGCAAAGCTTAGATGTGGCAAAAGGCCAAATATAGGGAGCACTCAGTAAGGATCGCACTCACTACTAAGTCGTAATTGATCTCGCTTGAAAAGATTCCTAGACCACGTCGAATTATATATATATATATATATATATATATATATATATTACTAACAAATTTTGGTTGCAATATACATAAGCGATACATTTGACATAACAAATTTTAAAACAGTATATTCATAAATATCTGTTTGTAATTCAAATTTAAAAAACCTGCCATATATAAACAATGTTTCTGTCAATAAATTTATTTTAATTCATCGTCTTAGTATACGATGAAATAATATCTGCGTTGTCAAATTTCAGTCGTAAGCAGAAACATATCAGTGTGTTTTCATTTAATGAAACTGTAAAATAAATGTAAGCCAAACTGTTTAATTGGATTCTTTTAAAACTGTATTGACTTATTTAAACCAATGAAGAAATATAAAGTTTGTTGAATTAATTTATTACTATTGATACAATGTGTACTATTATTAGGAAAAACAAACATCATAAAATCATTTAAATGTTTTTCTCATAGTCAGCTTTATGTAGTAGGTCTAAAGTAGGAAATTCAAGTGGGCTTAGCATAATGATAAAAAGAATTTAAGATGTCACACTGAAAATGTTGTTTATGCAGAAATCGTATAGAGGCAAGAGAACTTCTATTACAATTTAGTTTGCTATGTCCGTATGACAGTTATTCAACTAGTAGTAATAATTAAAATAAATACCATGACTACTAGCATTATTATAACTACAGTAAAATCGCTTTCATATTAATTGCAATAATAAATAGCAGGCATAATAGTACCATTATCATTCTTACTGCTACAACTATTAATACTAGTGTAACGTTTGTATTTTTCTATTTTGGATTAATAAGTAATGAGAAGGATAAGAAACTGCAGGTTTGACAGTATCTTCACAATTACGTTAGTTGTCCCTGTGTGTTTTCTTTGTTGCTTGTAATAATTTTAGGTGCTTATTGTAGCACCTAAAATTACAAACTGTTCTGCCAGTCAATCCTGCTAACCATTCCAACACTGTTAATAAAATGTTCATCAAAAGTTAAATAATAAGAGGAATATGATAATCATAATAACACGATAATAATAAGCATAATATAAAAAATTCCAAGTACAAATAAATCAGTGGAAAAAGTTAAAATAAAAAATTTCTCGAAAACTTTTCAAAATGTGAACAAGAGAAAAGGGGAAAGAAAACATTTCGTCACAAAATCGCGTAATTGAATTTTTAAATATGTGTTTTGCTACGGTGTTTCTACTAATAAATAAAATTAACTTTTTTGTTTTTTCATTAATTTCTCTTTGTATATGTTTGCTTTTTTTAAAATCTACATATATTTCTCAACGATTTCTTTTATATGTAATATCTTTTTAGGACTTGGGCGATGATTTCTCCCCACAATTTCTCCACAGATGCTCAAAGTAATTTTTGCCACTTTCGTAAATTCTCTGTATCTTTGTAGTTCTTTTCATGCTGTCTATTCACTTAAACTTGTCATTTGGGTTACTCACTGTTTCCCCACTGCTTCACTTACCATTAGTATTGCTCTGTGAGTGTTAAATTCCTCAAGCCTTCTTTCCTCATTATACATCACTCAAATATCAGCTGTATCTGATTGTTATTAGCAGTTTTTTATAGTTCATATTCTCTCTAAAACTTCCTTATTTCTCATATTCTCTATCATGCTCCCAACATTCGTAGGTAAAGTCACTTCTCTATTGATTCAAGTCTTTGATTCATTGTTTAGGAGAAAAAAAGTTAACCAACTTTGCATCTAAACACACCCACTTGATACACATTATCTCAGAACTCAACGAACAAAAAACTTACGTTATAAAATAAATGCATTAATATTTATTCGCTCTCTCGCACTATCTCTCTCTCTCTCTCTCTATATATATATATATATATATATATATATATATGAAGAAATATAGTCTTATGATGTGCTATATTTATGGGATAAAGTGCTCAATATCAGAGATTAGAGCGTGTGTAAATATAAAAGTGAACATAGAAGTCAAAACTTAGAGGGGACAGTCTGTTTCGTGCTAGATGCAATCGTCAGGCCACGAGTGCTGTTATTTTTCTCGGCTATTTATATATACGGGTCAGTGGTGCATATATATATATATATATATAACCACTTTATTCAGCATTTATCACTTTCTCTCATTTCTCTCTATCTCACCCTTTCTATATTTCTCCATCTTTCTGTATTTTCATTCTCCCTTATTCCTTCGCTTCTTCTCTATTCTCTCTCTCTCTCTCTCTCTCTCTCTCTCTCTCTCTCTCTCTCTCTCTCTCTCTCTGATAAAAGTATTCCCAAGTGGCACTTTTAAAAGCAAAACATTTTAGTGTCTTTATTAAATAAATAAAACCCTAATCTTAGACTGCTGTTTGATTAAGTAGTCACTTAGTTCCCACAGATTCTGTTGGTTTGTTTTCGAGCTCAGAATTATAGTCTTTTCAATGCTGATTTTAAAGGCTAACAGGTCCTCGCAGATGGTACGACATAACCTTCCTGAGGCCCATTTATTTGGCCAAACTCAGGTTAATAAATATAATCAGCGTTAATATCGAGTGACACTATCTTGTATTTATGTAAAAAGAGCTTTATCCAAATTTAATATGTTGCTGGTTCTCAATCTCTTTGAGCGTCTATTTAAATTAATATGCGTTAAGTGTACTTGATACGCTTTCTTTTATATATACTTTATGTTTATTTTAAAGAGGTTTATACTTCCCCACATCATTTCTTGGGGTTCTTTTTATTCTTTATTTTGATGTTTCTTTTATCTTCACTATTTAATGATTGGTTTTAGAGCCGAAATAAAAGCAAAGATTTCCAATTACGATTTTCAAGGCAGGCAGGCAGACCAGTTGAAAGATTTCAACAAAATTATTTCAGCCACCATTTTCCTCCATTTGATATTTTATCATACCAAGCTAAAGTTTGTAAATATGAATACTAGGCCTGCCTAGTTACTGAGGTAGTTGCAGTTTACCACTGGTGCAAATGGTCAGTATTCAAGCCGAGGTAAATGACGGAATTTCGAATACTCATTTCGCAGGCAAATACAGCATTTCCACTTGGAAGTTTAACATAACACAATTTCACATTTTCCATTTTCTTTCTGTTTGAATTTGTATTGTATGAAGCTGAACTTAGAAAATTTCAATTAGACATCCTCCGAGGTTGGTGACAAAAGTTTATACAGTTGAACCTGAAAGTTTTAAACTACTATGGTTTAAATTCTAATTTTCTTACTAGAGACTTAATTCTAAATACTAACGCACTAAAACTTAATATTTCATATAGTAGATGATAGAGCACTTACTGTAACACGATGTTTAGTCTTTCACTAGTATAGTCGAACTGGATTCTTCTTAAATGCTCTATCCACTCCGGTCTTATTCCAGATTAACCTGCCTACCAACTGACATTATTGATCATTCGATCAGAAAATTAAATGTTTACTTTAATTTGGCTTGAGGAAATAAAACGTTTAGTTTCAATTGACTTGTGGAAACAATTTTTAATTCCAAGTCTATTGCTATTGGTTTATATTAGATAAAGATCGGCTTCATTTCAAATTCACTGTACCTCTTGAATCTATCATTTACAAGAATGTTGTTTACCTTTAATCGTAAAAACGACGAAAGAAGATAACAGCTACGTCATTCCTTCACGGTTAGCGAAAGAGTATAAATCCTAATTTATCATATCGGTAACTATTTCGAACGGCAGGTGTAGATTAGACAGAGAATTGATGCATTTGCTGACAATGCCTTGAGAATTATGAGAACACAAAAGAAATTTAGATGCATAGGTCTAGAAAGAAAGAAAGAAAGAAAGAAAGAAAGAAAGAAAGAAAGAAAGAAAGAAAGAAAGACGATTAAGAATAACTGGAAGAAGTTGGAAAATTATGAGACGGAAAATAACGAAATGGAACGATGAAAGAAGAGAAATGGGTTAATAAATGTCGGCAAAGACAGGAATCAAAAGCTATTAAGAAAGACGAAAAAATAATGAAACATACATACAAGAAGAAAAAGAAGTTGTAAATAGGTTGATTTCAAAAAAAAAACGAATGGAAACAAAATAGGAGAAAATATGTGAATGGATGAAGAAAAGAAACAGAAGAATAGAAAAGATGGAAAATTGACAGAAAAAGGAAACATGATCTTTGGAGAAAAAGTTCGAACAAAAAAAGCAAAAGAAAGAAAAGAAGGAAAGAAAGAAATGGATGAAAGTGAGGGATAAAGAGCGAATAAGAAATCTGAAAGGAAAAAGATATAATGTTAAATAAAGGCCACTTTTATATGTGGTGTTGAAAGACGAGTTGGTGTTTTCGTGCAGACTCTCTCGGTATTACATTGAGACATCCACTAAAGTTGGCCACTTCGCTTCTAACATATACACATAACACCCATCAGAACAGATGTTAGCGTCAGCCCAGAGATGGAATTAAGCAATAGTACATTTTTAATGCTATCAAAATACTGTGTCACCCACGCCTATAAAACTGTATTTTAAAGACACGTTAAATCGTTAATAAAAGGGAAAAATATCTAAAAAAAAAAAAAAAAAAAAAAAAGAAGCCAAATAAAGTGATTGTTGGCCATCGCTAATATATGTCTCGTATCTGTGTTACATAAGCTGGTTTTTCAAGACGAGAGGTTTTAAATATTGTAAATGGATCTCTGCCTTCTATCTGGTGTGAAATATGCAAAAACAGGTTGTATTGTAAGCTTTTACTTATGGTAAGGAATCATCTTGCAGTCTACTCGTGAGCGAATTACATATACACAGACATTGATTAAATGCATATTTTTTGTGGGAGAATTTGTTTAAGGATAAATGAGTATGCATGCACAACCCTCTATAACTTATAATAAATAAACAGCACACACATATTTTAGATTACTACTACACACAAAAGACATTGGTTAAAAGACTCGGCATAAGAAAAAAATAATTCCTTTAAATAATATGTGGAAATAACTATTCTTCGCCTGATGAAGGTCACAAGACCCGAAACGCGTGTAGTAAAAATATAGAAAATAAAGTATAATATAAAATCCCCATTATAATCAAAAACGTTCGTAGCTTCTCCTCTCCCTTATATATATATATATATATATATATATATATATATATATATATATATATATATATATATATATATATATAAATATATATAACATAGAAGTCAGCACTTATATTTACACACGCTCTATCTCTGATATTGAGCACTTTATCTCATAAATATAGCTCATCTTAAGACTATATTTCTCCATATATATATATATATATATATATATATATATATATATATATATATATATATATATATATATATAACTGTTTGTATAACAGATAATATCAGCAGAGTTAGTGTTTAATTAAGAAAATAACTGAAAACTTTCACTCACTCTAAATTCATTTATCGTAGATTCTGGTGGTTGTATTTTAGAACCGAGTGATTTTTTTTTAATTCTCCTGATTGGTAATAATTGAAACAGATTATATACTCTTAATCCAGCCTACTCCTAGTTTGTCAGCTATCGAGATCATTTTATCAGGATATCTAAGAGCTTTTATTATACTTTTAACGGCATTATTACAAAGTGAACATAAGCAGCCCCAGCTGGAAATCGAACGCATTTTACTGATTATTTGTCCTCCCTCTACCATAAGACACCGATATACGCAATCATAAATAAATCCAAAATTTCAAAAATTAATGAGTTTGTCTGACGATCCTAGAGAGCGTGAAACTCATGATCACAAACTGACAACAATGCAATTATATATGTGTGTGTGTGTTTGCGTGTGTGTGTTTATCAGAACATATATATATGTATGTATGCCTGTTATATATTTCATCTTTTCATACTTGTCTTTTTGTGTATATTTGTACGAATAGACATTTTATGTTTATACATTCTTTTTATATATTTTACATATTTATATATTATATATATTTGTGTGTGTGTGTTGGTTGTGTATGAGGTGTGTGTGCTTATGAAATGTGCTTCATTTTATATATGTACGCATTTATGTACACACATATTTTCTTTATAACGATACATGTATATATATATATATATATATATATATATATATATATATATATATATATATATATATATATATATATATAAATTCACCCAACACATCTGTTCATATATTAGAAAAAAAAAAAAAAATGAAACTTGTACAATAACTAAGATGTACTCAGAAAGTTGTAAACATTGAAATATTACCCTTTAAAATCAGCTTCAGAATTCCTAATGCTGAAAAACACAGATATAAAATGACTCTTTTCTTAAATCAATCTCTCCTTCTAACATACACAAAGACACTCACACACACACACACATATACATTTCATTAGTTTGTCTCTCTCAACACCTCTTTACTTTCTCTCTCTCTCTCTCTCTCTCTCTCTCTCCCTTCCTCAAACACACCCCAACAAACACAAATAAGAACACATGTCCATACATCCATATATGGTACGAGTGTTGTTTCTGTTTAAAGACAGAATGGTTTTGTAGAGGAAACATCTTGCAGTTAACATTGGTGTGTGAAGCAATAAATCATTGACGAACATGCGAAGCGAAAAATAAAAATCTCTTTAATTCTATGTCATGACCCCCAGAAAATGAAAATGCAACAAGGGATGCGGAATTCTGTTTGGAAGACAAGGAAACAGGCCTAAGGATTACAAGAAAAGAAGCATGAATGTATGGACACATGCAGGAGATGCACACTTACACACGCTCAGAAATGAATATACATGCAATATCTCACACCAGACATTTACATTTATGTTTGGTTAGTTATTTACTACGTTCATGTTAGTAAGGCACGAATTCCTAGTATATTGAGAAAATTTGGTCAACGCAATCCCATTGTATATCTTAGTGACATTGCATATGATTTGTAAGTTATGTGTATATTAAGTTGGCTTTATTATATAAATTAATATTTTATTATATTGGTTTTAACGTTTTAATCTCTTTTATTATCCGGACTCATCTTACAGTAAGATAATATATGATTAAATACTATTTTACAATGGTTTCTTTTAATGTAAGTATCAAATTAGCAATACTATCCAAATTTAATTAGCGATAGCATTATAATTTTAAAATCGAGTGTCTTATTGTAAGAATTTTTAAAAACTTTATATGGTTTAAGAAAACTTTAAAAAAATTATATGGCTACTAATAAATATCAAAATGTTTGCATTTTAATTTAAATATTGCAGCAATTTCAAAAATTGCTTTTTTTTAATATAACATTCATTTAAGTCAATCTTTCATCATCTTC